ATTTTTGGTTTTATTTTTCTCTTATTCCCTGAAACATAAAGTATTTTTGAGACTTCATTTAATCTTAATTATTTTGCTAAAGGCCCTATCTCCAAATATGGTCGTATTGGAGGTGAGGGCTTCAACGTATGAATTTGGGGGACACGATTCAGTCCACAATAGATATCAGTGGCTGGAACTGGGCCATGTGGCTCCTGCTGCCAAGGAGTCCGGGGAGTTGGGGAACAGAATTGCTATAACTGGCCACTTACCAGTCATGTCTCTTACATAGGATGGCGCGCTGAGCCACGCCAGGATTCTGTTAGCAAGGATAAAGCGAGGAATGGATGTTAGTTGACAGGATCTGGTCTGCCACACTACCCAGGGGATGCTCCTAACCAAGGGGGTAGTGACACTCTGTGAGCCCAGTGACACGGGGCAGAGACGGGGGAGCCAATTCCTTCTAACTGCCCCCACCCCCCCACACACAAGGAGACTTGTCCCCAGCCTCTGCCCCTAGATCTCACGCACAGATCTGGCCTGTCTTCCAAGGCCTGGTCTTCCTCTAAACCTTCAAGTCTGTGAATCATTGTGCACTTTCCATAGATTCCTATTTTTCCCCCTGGCTTAAATCACCCATAGGATTCCTGTTGCTTGCATTCAAAGAATACTACTAAATACCCATTTAAGAAATAATAGTGACTTAGAGAGCGGGACGTCCGGCTTCTCACTGGGAACCCTCGTGCCGTCAGCAACCAAAGAGAACTAACTATGGGTGATGTTGAGAAAGGCAAGAAGATTTTGTTCAGAAGTGTGCCCAGTGCCACACTGTGGAAAAGGGAGGCAAGCACAAGGCTGGGCCAAATCTCCATGGTCTCTTTGGGCGGAAGACAGGTCAGGCTGCTGGATTCTCTTACACAGACGCCAATAAGAACAAAGGCATCACCTGGGGAGAGGATACACTGATGGAGTATTTGGAGAATCTCAAGAAGTACATCCCTGGAACAAAAATGATCTTCGCTGGCATTAAGAAGAAGGGAGAAAGGGCAGACTTGATAGCTTATCTCAAAAAAGCCACTAATGAGTAATAATTGGCCACTGTCTTATTTATTACAAACCGGAAATATCTTAACTTTTTTTATGTGTACCATAATTTAATTGGTCTCATACACCAGAATTCAGATCATGAAAGAGTGACAGAATATTTTTGCTGGACAGTCCTGATTCAACTAAGACTGGCTTGTGGTTAATTCGGTTTTTTGAATTTTGATAGTAATTCCAATACAGTAAATGCTATCACTGTTTTCCCCTTCTGAAGATATGATTGGATTAATTAGTAGTGTTCAACTTTTCACAGGGATGGTAAATTGCCATTTTAAAACCTGTTGAGGATTGGTTTTATATTTAGATTTATATAACTGGTTATGTGAATATATTTAAATACTAGGGAAATCCCTTCACTTGGAACCAAGCAAGACTCACTGGTGTTTTAACCTGTTAAAGATGAGAGCTGGAGACAAGGTAGCAATGTTTACTTTATATATTTTTGGTCTTTGCTATGCCAATCTAATTTCCCTGCATCTACTAAAATGTTGCCTTTTATTTATTGAAAGGCATTTTAGTGTGGTTTATGTGTAATATCAAACAAAGAATATTTAACACTTCTCAAAAAAAAAGAAATAATAGTAATAACATGATATATATTTTGTATAAATAATATATATTTCCAGTTTGCTACACAGTCTTCCTGTTCATAATTTTAACACCACAGAGGCAGTCTTCTTGCCAGAGGCATGGCTGGCATCTAAGCACCTTTCCTCCACTGCTGAACATCTCCACCCACTTTCTACAATGAATCCCCAGGGACCACTGATCAGATGGTCTGAATATTTTTATGTCTTGACGTATGTGAGAGGCCTGTGTAAATTATACTCGTACCAGCAGTGTATGGCACCAGTTTTGTTTGTTTTTTTTTTCTTTTATTGAGACAGAGTCCCACTTTGTTGCCCGGGCTAGAGTGCCGTGGCGTCATCCTAGCTTACAGCAACCTCACACTCCTGGGCTCAAGCGATCCTTCTGCCTCAGCCTCCCGAGTAGCTGGGACTACAGGCATGCACCACCATGCCTGGCTAATTTTTTCTATATATTTTTAGTTGTCCAATTAATTTCTTTCTATTTTTAGTAGAGACGGGGTCTCGCTCTTGCTCAGGCTGGTCTCAAACTCCTGAGCTCAAACAATCCGCCTGCCTCGGCCTCCCAGAGAGCTAGGATTACAGGCGTGAGCCACCGCGCCCGGCCCAGTTTCGTTTTTTTAAAAATCACATCTCACTACATATTTTTTAGTTAAGAAAAATGTTGTTTCCTTGTTTCTTTTCACATATCTCAATTCCCAAATTAGAAAATTCCTGTCAAACCACATGCCCCAAGTCCTGGTTTGGGAAATACAGGGATGTGGTAAGGAGGGAAACGGGGGAAATGGGCAATCTTTTATTTGATATCATAGCTACGCATGTGCACGTGCGTGTGCATATGTACACACAACTACATGCACAAGCACACATGCACACCTGCATACACATGCATACACACAGACCTACGCGCACAAGCACACAGGCACATACGCATACACACACACCTACCTACACACACACATGCACACACGCACATACACACACATGGCACACATGCTCTTGCATGCACCAGCAGTTCACTCCTCAGATCCCTTGTGGAGTTGCCCTAGACGACTAGAACAAGGGAAACTGAAGAACAACTGAAGGGGGCAAATCCTGCCAACAAATTTAAACCGGAGGAAAGCAAGAGGCTTCAGTCGTGGCCGGATCATCCAGACTCCCTCCCTGGCTGCTTCTATCCCATTATCGTCAACCCATAATTCCTGCCTCTTAGCATCCTGGTTAAGCATCAGGCTCTGGACGGGATTCAGATCCTGGCTTCATCACCAGCGGTTATCTTGGGCAACCCACTAAATCTCCCTTAGCGTCATCCTGTGGGACCCAGGGATGAGTAGAACTTTCTCATAAAGGAGTTGTGAGAAAAAATGACTCCTGGGGTCTGCATGGCACCCAGCCTGGAATAGCACCTAGTGAATGCCAGCTGCCTGCCTGTCTCCTGGGAAACAGTGCTTCCTGTGACCTGTGTCCATTATACAGATATTTAACATATAGGCTGTCGCTTGAATACCATAGCACTTGTTTCTTAGGGATGCAGTAACAGGACCTCAAACTGGGTGCTTTAAAACGGCAGATACTCACTCTTTCACAGTTCTGGACGCTAGAAGGCCACATGAGGGTAGTGACAGGGCCGTGCTCCCGTAGGGGAAGCCCTCCTTGCCCTTCCTGGCTTCTGGAGGTTCGCTGGCACTCCGTCCTTCCTTGGCCTGTGGCTGCGTCGCTCCCATCCTGTCCTCACGTGGTGTTCTCCCTGTGTCTGTGTCTTCACGTGGCCGTCTTCTTACAAGGACGCCAGTCGTATGGATTAGGGGCCCACCCTACGTTAATGTGACCGCATCTTAACTAATCACATCTGCGACAAGCTTATTTCTAAATAAGGTCATATTCTGAGGCAGTGGGGGTTAGGAATTCAACGTATCTTTTTTTGTGGGGGACACAGGCTAACCTAAACCAACCATTTTGATTGGATGACTGCTTCTGAGCAGAGGTGATTTTTGAAAGTTTTAACAATTGGTCTGGCACTGTCAACCGACAGCGAGGATGTTGATTCTGGGACTGGAAATGAGGATTTAGAGAAAAGCTCCAGAAGAGGGTGAAGGAAAACAAACCTTCCCCTTTCTCTGAGGCAGTGAGTTGAGCTGGGCTCAAATTCCAAGGTGTGGGGCCGCCCGGAGCTGCGGGTGGTGGCTGGAGGTCTGGGCCGTGCCAAGGAACATCTGCTGGGTTGGTGGGGTTGAGAAGCAGCTTCAAGAAGGGTCATGTCTTTGTCGTGCATCCTTTCTGCTTCCCGGAAACTTTAATAAAACCTCATTAATTTTCCCTGCCTGGTCTCAATGGTATCTGTGTCTGTGTCTGTGTGTGTGTGTGTGTGTGTGTGTGTGTGTGTGTGTGTGTGTGTAAGTGGGGAAGGCATGGGCCGTGGCCCTTGTTTCTGAAGGAGGAATCAGGGTGGGTTCTATCCCTTCTCCAAAGTCAAGTGGAGAATTGGCCAAGGTCACTGGTGCAGAGAACTGCTCCTCTTCAGGCCACCAGCAATTTGGGCTACATTTCGAAAGCACAGCAGTCACCCTCGAAGTGACACCAGACTTGTTCCACTTCCACTTCCCCCTGTTGGTGTGGACCGTAGACTATCCTCTTTTCCAGCCACTGTGGAAAGACCTTTTCCTTCCTTCTTCCTTCCTTCCTTCCTTCCTTCCTTCCTCCATCCCTCCCCCCTCCCTCCCAAGAGGCTGCCCCCCGATTACTCCCCAGGCACCAGCTCTGTAGCTCTCAGGCAAGTGATGTCCACCCCAGCCCAAGCCCTGCTCCTCCACACCCCTAGCTCATGCTGGAGGGCAGCCAGACAGCTCTGCACAGGAGCTGCGGCTGAGACTAGGCAGTGAGGTCAGCCCCACGGTAGACAGACCATCATCAGGCATGGTTAGATCATCACGCATACAGACGGAGATGAAAACTATGTGGCAGGCGAGCCTCCGCTTCCCTCCCCCTGGCCTTGGCAGACATTACTAATCAATTGCATCACTTTCACACTGAGTCAACCCAAAGCTTCAGACAACCACAATAAGATGGTCAGAGTTGCTACCTGGGGGTAACTGACTTGCCATTCATTCATTCATTCATTCATTCATTTATTTCAGGATATTATGGGGGTACAAACATTTTGGTTACATGTTATGACTTTGCCACACCCAAACCATGATTTGAGGTGTGTCTTTTCCCCCCTTGACTTGCCATTCTTGACCCAGATACAGACAGGATCCAAAAGTCAGGGTGACTCTGAGTCAGAGCCAGGCAGGAAAGCAGGGGTTTTAACAGCAGTAAGGCAAAGACAGGGCAGGGGGGTGGTCAGGCTGGCTGAGCAGAACTCCAGGCGGGAGGGAGGTGATAACTCCCTTGCATCAGAACTTCAGTTTACAGAGCACTTTCACTAAATGCCTGTGACTCTTGAGGTAGAGGTGACTCAACTTCCATATCACAGATGAGGAAACATAAGCCTAGAGAAGTGTATGCCCGTGGTGTCACCAGTGTGGCAGCTGCTGTTTTGGTCACCTGGTAGACACCAGGCCTTGGGAACACAGGTGGGCACAGGCCTTGGATCAGCTTCTCTCCTGAAAGTGCATCCTTCAGCAGGACTCAGGCAGGAGGCAGTTGGTGGTGCGTGCGGCAGGTGATTAGCCACTGGCTGGGCGTGGGAGGAGCTCTGGTTTATAGCCCTTGCTGATTTCTGAGAGAGTGTAGATATTCCTGCCTTGGCTTCAAGCTCCCAGTAGGCATCACTGAATACGGAGTTGGGAAGAGATGCCTGTAGTCCGCTCTCTGGGGCCGGAGGAGCCGGCTCCAGCTCACCAATGTCAATGCCCCAGAGAGGCACTTCTGTCCCCTGAGCCCCATGATCTGGGTGTTCAGCTCTCCCCGCAGTTCTGCGTCGCTCAGGCTCTCCCCTGCCTGGGTCAGGTTTGTTTCTGTTGCTTGCAAGTGAAAGGCCTGAGAGCCGTCTCTGATACGCTGACCCCGTGGGGGAGCCAGGTCTCAGGGCCTGTGTTCTGGCTTCCAGCTTCTTGATCTTCCCTCTCTACCCACTGACCCCTCAAGGGCCCGATGGCAAGGCCCCACAGGTGGTGGGAATGCCAGGCACAGAGCCAAGAAGCCCCAAGGTGGGAAGGAGCCTCAGAACCTGGAAGCCGCAGCCTGGAGTCTGAGCAGTGGCAGGCGGTGGACGGCCGGGTCCGTCGGGCATGGGGAGGAGGGCTGGGGAGACTGCAGTCAGCAGGCAGGTCGCCCTGTTCAAGGGGCAGCAGCCACTGCTCAGCTCCAGGAAGTGGTCCCATGTGACCAGAAATTCTGGTTTTTAAAGAGAAGCCTGATATTCAAATTTTTGAATGCGAAATCTGATTTGTAAATGCCAGCAACTATATTAAAAAACATTTAAACATCTCAGGCCACTGTCGGCAGCCTCTGGTCTTAAGTCTGTGTCTTTGCTGAGCCACAGGCATCTCTCACTTGTCTGGGCTTCTGGCTGCCCCTCTGGCACCTCCTTGCCAGCCCTTGGCTGTGCCCACCCCAGACTGTGCCCCTGCAGCCCCCTCCAGTGTGGCCACTTCTCCACTGCCCCGAGGGAGGCACGTGGGGCCCCCCTTGCTGCCAGAGCCTGTTGCTGCCCCTGCATCATGTCCTTGCTGTGCACCGCGTGCCCCTCCATCTCACAACCCTCCTCCTTGCTCCCTGCGCCCCGGCCTCCTCCTCCACTCAGTCCTGTGAATGTGCCCAATACCTGTGATGACTTCAGCCAGCTCTCTATCTCCCCAGCAGTCCCTTGGTCCCACTGCCTGTCCTTGGCTCCTCCACCCTCCAGCTTCGATTCCATGGCCCTCTGTTGCCATCGCTCCCTGCACCCACCTCAGGTCGCTGTGCCTCTCTGCTGCACCCGAGCTCCCACTCGGGGCTGCACCCAGCTGGCTGCCTGGGCTCACGACACCAGGGCCATTGACCTGGAGCGCAGCCTCTCGCTTTCCGGGGCCCCCATGGCACCGCCCTGCTGTGGCCTTGCTCCACTCTGTGAGCTCACTTGTTCCCCTTCTCTCCTCTACCCAGACCTCCAACCCCAGTCCCCATCCTCACTCTCTGCTCACTGAGGAAACAGAAGCACTGGCTGGACTCCTCTGTTCTGTGCTGTAAACGGGGACAGGGCCTTCTCCGGGAATCGTGAGGAATGAAAGAGAGAATCATGTAAAGCTGGCACACCGGAGCTGCAGGGCGAGGTTTCCAAGGAAGCATGACTTGCATTCAGCTCTAGCATCTTTTGCAGCGTCCTGACCCCGAGTCCACCTGCCCAGGACACAGACGCCCACAGGGAAGGTGCATTCTCCAGACGAGCCTCCAGAGGGCACCACCAGCACAGCGCTGAGCCTTCTGCGCCCAAGTCCTAGAGCCAGGCACCTGCTCACCTTTGTGCCAGGGCCAGGCCAATGATGCTTTGCAGATGAAGAGGACCCATATCTGCCCCATCTCAGATATGTCCCTGCACACAACAGGTAGCTCTCACCTTCTCTCTATCCAGGCGATGTGACTCGTTGACCTGTGGCCCAGCACCCAGGGCCAGGGTGTTTGCCTGGAGGGTGGGCGGAACTCAGCCCCCTCCCCATTCTTCATCAACCATGGGGCCTCTGGAGGCTCAGAGAGATGGGCTGTACATGGCTGTGTGTGGGAATCAGGAGCTCGGGGCTGGTCACACAGATTCCCAGGCTGGCATCTCAGCATCTCTTGGAAGGCAGGAAATTGGAGACGCCCCTGCAGAACTAAGAGTGCTCATGACGGCAGGGACCACCACCCCCTGAGCACCCATCAAGTGGTCTCACTTGGAGGGCACCTGTGCCTGAGCCCACCCTCCACAGGCAGCTCCTAGGGAGGCAGAGGCTGGACAGGGTGGGGCCTTCCTGCCTTGGCCACCCACTCCCTGGTGCCAGGCATTTTGCATGTTCCCTGACCTGGATTCCGTCATCCCAGATGGTGGCCCTGGGCAAGCAAGACCCCTGGCATTGGCCGCCCCACCCAGGAACTAAGGAGGTCACGCTAGATTGCCCCTCTTGTGGCCTGAGGTCAAGAGCATCCCTGCAGATGTGGCCCCAGAGGGCAGGGCAGGTTGCAGTGTCTCGGTCAAAGGCTGCCTGCAGCCCCGGCATCCGCTTGGCCAATGGTGGCCCTGCTTTCCCCAGGACAGGTGTTAAGCTGCTCTGAGAACAGGCTTCCTGTGGAGGGAGGGAAGGGAGATTCTGAAAGGCCCCTGCTCCCACCTGGAGCCCGCAGGAAGGAGGCATTAGGCTGCAGGGTTTCTGTGTGCGCCTCCTGGAACAGCCACAACTGGACCTACTGGAGTTTGTTTCAATGCAGATGCCCAGGCTGAGATGGGCCCCTTCACTCCCCTTTCCCCCAAGAACCCCCAGCTATTTCCACCCCAGTGGGCCTTCCCGGCTGGTCCTTATGGGGCAGGCAAGGTGGGTGGGGTGGGGGTCACCGAGAGGATCTGGCAGCCCCACAAGTCTGTGTCCACCACCAGGGTAGACCAACTCGGGCTTCCAGGTCACACCTTCACCCCCCTGGAGCGCTAATAACAGCCACAGGGCTCATCTCGACACCCTGGGGTTCTGTGGCTCAGCTCAGGACAGTGGAGTCACACTGCCCTGTTCCTTGCCTGCTGAGGGAAGCTGCGGAAGTCACCTACCCTCCTGAGCCTTGGACCCCTACGTGCACAAGGAGGAAGGCAACACGCAGTGCCCGGAGGCTCAAGTAGGAACACAGTTTGAAGGCACAGAATGGGCATCAGAGCTGCTGACATGTGAGCAGAAGGCTGAGGTTTGCTCTGGGCCCACTCAGGTCCATCTCCTTCGCTCCCCCACTGGCAGCCCCACCCACGGGCTTGCCTCCATCTCGCCTGCCCTTGCAAAGGTCCACGCCATGCACACCGCGGAGCGGGGTAGATGCACATTGGTGTCTTTTTATTGGATTTTCCATGGGCGACCTGGATGCCCTGAGTGGCCCCGCCCAGCTCCTGGCCTCTGCTCTGGGGGCTCTGCCACCCTGCACATCCTTTCCCAAGCAGCTCGGGCTCCTCCTTGAGACAAACCCAGTTTTCCTACCGCCTTCCTCTTTATTTACACCAGGCTGCCTGGCTGGGGCACGGCCCAGGTGTCCCAGTTAGTGTGCTGTAGCCCAGAGCCCCTGGCAGCACCTGCTCATCCCAGGCCATGGCAGACTCTGCCCTACAGCTTGGTGTTGAGATGGAAGAAGTGGGGCGCTGCATAGGTCGTGACTGGCGGTGCGTGCCAGGCAGACGCAGCTGGGCAAAGTCTGTGGCGGAGGGCACTGTCAAAGGATGTCGGGGGGAAGTGCATCAGTCCAGTGGCCATGGGTGAGGGGCCTGTAGTGGCCATGAAGTGGGCCGGGAAGGCCGGGATGACCAGGGGGCTGAAGGGGAGCGTGGCCTGGCCCTTTAAGGGGTCCGGGGTGCTGGCGAAGTTCATCGGGCAGCGCAGCATGGTGCCCCTGTAGGCCTCTGGGGGGGCTGGGCCCAGCAGGCAGGAGACGGCCAGGCCGGGCCCTGTGGGTTTGGCCCCATACTCCTTGGCGTCCACCTCCTTAAGAAAGGGAGACACTGCCCGCAGTTTTTTGCCACCATGGGCAAAGCCCTCTTCCTCCAGGCTGCGCTTGCTGCTGAGGCCTGGGCTGCTGGGGAAGGCTGATGGGGGCACAGGGCTCTCGGCCGGGACTTTGGCCATGGGGGACACCCAGCAGGCTTTGGGCTTGGGGTAGAGGCTGCCCTTCCTGGAACCGCCTTTGTGGAATGCAGAGGGGCGGTTGGCATCCCCGCCCCACACGAGCTGGGGCTCTTTGATTGACAGTCCCTCCTCTTTGCTGGGAGGCCCCGAGAGCACTCCATCTTTAAAGTTGGAGAAGAAGTCCCGGGGGTGCTGGCTGACGGGCTTCAGCACCTCGGTGGGATAAGCGTGGAAACAGCCCGTGAAGATGGGGGCCGAGGGACAGGGGCCCGCTTGAGCCTCCTCCCTGAGGCTGCTGCCAGGGGCCTGCAACCCCTCCTGAGGGGTCAGCTGGTGCCTGGAATTCTCAGCCAGCCCTCCTGGGCTCCGGGGACTCTCTGGGGGATGAATGGCTGGGGACGCCTGGGGCTCCATGTCCGGGCCACCTGCCCCATGGCGACAGCCTTCCTCCTGGCACTGCAAGGCCTCTGCCTTGCTCACCTGGGCCAGGAGCTTCTTTTTGGCCAGTGGTGACATGATGCCATGTGTCCCTTTACAGTAGAAGCTGGACAGGAGCCGCTTATAGGCCTCAGGGCAGCTGCTGGCACCCACGAAGGGCAGAGAGGGCCCAGAGGCTGGGCCCAGCTGTTCTGTGCTGTCCCTGGGGGGCTCCTGGCTGGGAAGCGGTGCTGGGTCCAGGACATCTGTTTTGGTCTTTCCTAGCATCATCTAGAATGAGAAAGGGCCATACCTCAGGGCTGGGTGTGAGCCATGCATCCTGACCTGGGCACCTGGAGACAGCAGGGTCTTGGGAGTGCCCAGGGCCCCTGCTAGCCCTTGTAGTGCTTCTGTGCAAAATCTTCAAAAGGTGCCCTGTCCTCCGAGTGGACACTGTCTGGCATCAGGACATAGGGCCTAGTGGATGGGGTGTGAGCTGGAGCTCAGACCCCACTTGCATAACCATTTGCAGAGAACCTGGAGCCCCGAAGGTCCTGTCCTTGGAGCAGGTTCAGGGTATCTAAGCAGGGAGCCTGGCAGCCACAGTGAGGGCAGGCGCTCACCTGGTCCACCCGCCGCTCCTCCTTGGTCTTCTTCGGCCTCTCAGTGGCCCCGTCATCTGCCCGCTGCTCCTTGGCCATCTTGTATTGTTTCCTGGGCTTGGAGGGGGGCAGTGGCTTGTCATCCTCCCCCTTCAGGTGTCGCACATATGGGAGGACCAGCCTGGGGAGGAGCAGGGCAGGCAGGTCGCCAGGAAGCCAGGCCCACCCCCGCTGCAGGCTTCCTCTACACTCCTCTAGGTCCCCCTCCGTCCCTGACCGCATACAGCCCGTCCCGCAGTCCCAAGCCGTGATGGGGATGGAGCACAGCACTGCCCCGCTGCCCCAGGCTGGGGCTGGGGCGGACACATCCTGCCCCCTCCTCTGCATCCTGACGCTGGGCCAAGGCCAGAGGGGGAAGGCCCAGGTGTCCCGTACCCGGGACCTGCGGTGGCCACCCTGCTGTACCTCTCGTAGTGGCGGCGAGTGCAGGTGGCCGCGCTGGTGCTGCCTGGGCTGCCCCCCAGCTCGTCGTACACGTTCTTCCAGAGGCGGCGACCGGTCACCTGCAAGGGCACCACGTGAGGGCATGGCAGGCGGGCGCCCCCTGGCGGCGGGGGGTCTTCACAGCTTTAGGTCCCGAACTGCGGTTTTGCAGCTGCCTCTCCGGCAACAGCGGCCCGGCCCGGAGGTCGGGGTGGGGGGACTGCCGGGCGGCCAGCCAGTTCTCCTCTCCCCGGGGCCACCCAACTGCTAGCCCAAGCAGCTTTCCGAGCATGGGGCGGGTAGAACAGATGGGAAGGGAAGAAAACCTGCTTTGAGCAGCACAGTACTGGCGAGGCAGGCCCCTCCTCCTCCCCGCAGCAGGCAGGGGCAGGATGGGGGATCTGCCTCTTCCTCCCGTCCGGAGGCAAGGATAGCTCAGTGGGCTGGCCCTGGGGTGCTGCAGGGAGGGGCCTTCCTTACCAGCTCATAGGCCCCCAGCTTCTCCACCGCCTTGTAGATCTTCCACAGGTTAACTGGAGGAGAGAGGGGCAGGCCTGCTGTCAGTCTGTGGCTCTGGCCAGCAGGCACAGACAGCACACACCCACACAGGGCCACTGCAACGGATGGGCAGGCCAGGCCTGGCGCACCGGTGACCCAGTGGCCAGTGAGGATGGAATCCAGCTCCACCCATCCCCAAGCATGGAAGGGGCATCCTATTTGCAACCCCTGGTAGGCTGGCAGCATCCAGGGTCACCCAGGGTGGAGGTGCCTACCCAATGCCCTGCCTGGGTGGGGTCCCCTGCTGGGCCCCCCTCCCTGCCTGCACCCCAGGGACGCACTCTGCTTGAAGCCGAGATGGGGCACCCTCTCGATGGGCGTGTGTCGCTCCTTCATGAACTTGTAGAGGCTGACCAGGAAGGCCTGCTCCTCCTCCCGCTCCCTGCCTGCCTCGGGGGAGTCCTGGGGAAAGAACGGGAGGCATTGGATGGGCCCCAGTCGGTGGGTGGCTGGGGACAAGCAGAAACCACCGGCTGTGGGGAGGAAAAAGGTGCCTGCCCCAACCCCAGGCTCCCCAAGAGCACCCAGCCCACTGCTTTGGGCTGGAGTGACTTCCCGGGTCCAACAAGGCATAGGCATCAGCTCTTAGTGTCCTGGCCCAAAGACGGGGGCTGGAGTCCAGGGCCTCCCCACAGGCCTGGCAGCCCAGAGCAGCTGCAGCTGGTGCCAGAGATGGCCACAGGAACAGTCCCCAGCCTTCTCCAGGCCAGGATCACTTCTTCATCTTGCTCTTAATTTTGTTACATCTGTGTCTTAGCTCCTCTGCCAGACTGTGAACTTCTGCAGGGCAGGTTGTGTGTCCCCAGGGCCCCTGGGATGAAAGCTGAAGGAACAAAGGTGTCTAGCACTGTGGGGCCGCTCCACTGGGCCTGCGTCCACTGAGACTCTGCCCTGCCAGCTGCCTCTCTGATCCACCAGCCTGCCATGCTGAATTTATGGAGTAGAAGCTCTGGGTGTCCACTGGCACGCTGCTGTCAGGTACACAGGACTTTTGGTTGCCAGTCTCAGAGGGGCAATTCCTGCTGAAGCTTCATCAGGCAGGTGGCTCAGGGCAGTGAGGTATGGTGGGGCTGGGCTGAGGGCCCATGTCCTGGCCCAAGGTAGGGTCCTGCTTGGAGAATGTCCAGCTCCCCAGCTCCCAGAAGGACATAGACCATCTGGGCCTAGAACAGTGCAGAGCTATGTGTTCCAAAAATATTTGACTCAAGTTTATTTCAGTATTTTTACTTTTTTTAAGTTGTAAATATCTTCTATAATATTTCAGCGTTTTTAAGGTACTAAGGCCCTCTGATAACAAATGACACACAAACCTATGTGTTACCTATGAAGTTGTAACATGCCGGAGACCCGGGGGCTGCTGTGCGCGGACCTCAGAAGGCAAGCTCTCACGACTGCTCTTGGAGTCTGCCCTTCTAGTCCTTTCCTGAGTTCCAGGCAAGTTGTCAAAGACTACTACCATTTGCAACCACTTTTCTACATGAATCTGGGTATTTTCTCCAGACTGCGCCGCCAAAGCAAATGGCCAAAATGAATGGAAGCTGAGGCTGACCGTGCTCCAAAAATGCCACCTGCAGCCCCCGTTTCCGATTCTGTGCTCATCAAAATAGCCTTGCTGAGCTCACTGAGCGACTTTGTGTGTCCACATTATAAATGTGGGGGGACGGATGTACATGTAGTTTTACATCATAGCATCGTGCTTTTGTCTGTTTTATGGATCAGGGTGCCGCGTCATCTTCGTCTGAAAAAAGGGCTCTGGCTCTGCCTGGCAGGGTGGGGTGCAGGGACAGTTTCCCTCCTGAGAGCTTGGGGAGTCTCCAGGTTCACCTGGAGTCTCAGCACAGGTGAGGGGGCAGGGAAGAGCCCCCGAGGGAGTCAGCAACTCACCTCCAGCTGGATGGGGCTCTGGCTCCTGCTCTGCTCACCATCGGGTTTAGGGGATGAGGGTGGGTCTAGGGGGTCACTCTCCTCTGACTGTTTCCTTTTCCCTTTGACAGGGGGTGCTGCAAGGAGAGAGGGAAGAAAGAGGAGGGGGGAGGGGAGGGAGAAAGAACACATGAGATACAGGTAGGGAGAACAGGTGACCAAGGAGAGGTCCCCTGCCCTAAATCGGAATTGGCCAGGGGAAGGGGTCTGTCCTTGTCTGCATGTAGGCTGTCCCCGCCCTCCCCCCACACTCGGGCTCCCGTGGCCACCCCTGCTGACCCTCCTCTCCCCTCACCCCAACCAAGCCCCGCCTGCTCCACACCTGCCTCTCTTCTCTCCTCTACTCCAGCCATCCCCACCTGCCCCCGCACCAGGGACTCGTTTCACAGAAGACAGTTTTGCACAGACGGCGCAGCAGCGGGGTCCCCCGGAGTCCCACCGGTATCTGCCGCTGCAGCCAAGCCAAACCCACCCCCTCACTCCGCACCACCCTCCACCTCCC